TTATTTTATTTTATTTTATTAAATTTTAATATAACATTTAAAAATTTATCTTATTAAATATTTATATTTAAAAATAATTATATTAGAATATAAAAAAAATTTTTAAATTCAAATATCATTTTATTTTATTTTATTTTATTAAATTTTAATATAACATTTAAAAATTTATCTTATTAAATATTTATATTTAAAAATAATTATATTAGAATATAAAATTAATTTTTAAATTCAAATATCAATATTTAATAAAATAAATTTTTAAATTTTTAATTAAAATTTTAATTTTTAAATATAAATTAAAATTCTAATTTTTATTTTAAAATCAAAACTAATACTTGATATATACTACTTTTATAAATCTCCCACAGGTGTCCTGCAAAAACACTTTACCGAATAAACATATCATTTTTGTTTTCACTCATGTCAGCAAATGGGTTGACTTTAAAGATCAAAAAATCCCCCCGTGATTCATTTTAAACAGATAAATTAAGTTAGGTTATGTTAATTTTATGAATAATTAAAGTGAAGTATTAAATCCGCAACCTAACCCATTTTCTTGATTCAAGCAAGTGATGCTTAAATCAAAATTTAAAAATTAGAGAATACTTTTTGTACAATATTTTCATCTCATTTTTTATATAATTTGATGTGTTATTAAAATAATTAATTTTTTTAATTCATATAAAATTTATAATATTAAATATATTCACTCATTTAATGATATGTAAAAATTATATAAAATAAATAAAATAAAAAAATTATCTCAATAACACTACATTTTAAAAATAAATAGTTACAATATACTACGTACCACACGTAATCTTTTGCCATCAAAGTCTAACTTGGATAGCTTACGGTAATTGACACTATTTTTTGTTAAGAATAATAATAAATGAGATTAAAATTTAATATTAAAATTTGAAATTAATGTGACATTATTTAAAATATTTAAAATTTAATTTTATATTATTTAATAATTAATTTTTTTAATTTATAATATTATATATTAATTAATTTAATTTTATATTTTCATCTTAAGTTTACGTTTTCCTGTCATTACCCTTTTCTTAATAGACACATTAACCTTATTTTATTACAATTTCAAAATGAAAACTTGCAACTTGAGAAAGAGGGTAGCATTCCTAAAACTTGCATTACTTACAACACGAAGTTGCGGTAACCTTATTTCAGTAAAACTTGAAATTGAAATCTGGCAACTTGAGAGGGTGGATTCCCTTCGGCTTTCAAAGGATGGCTGGGCATGGTTGAATTTTGTTTATAATTGAAATTGAATTATTGGTTAATTATAAATTTTTATAGATTAAATTTTAAAAATTAATAACCAAATTAATAAAAAAATTAATAACCAAACGAAAATCTCAACTCGTCAACTATAATTTCAGTCTGTTTTAAATTTTATCAAGTTGAAAAATTTCCCCCCACACTCCAACTTGGAAGGCTTTTTTTTTTTTTTCCTGCCAATATTCTCATGAGTCATATTCAATATCTAATTCTCGGGTAATGGACCAGCTATGATCATGGCAATTCAGATGCATTGCATTTCGGGATTTTCATTTTAGATAACTGGAACCACAAAAGCTACTTTTATTTCACCACTCGAATATCCCAACCATTTCTGACAGTCTGCTTCCACATAAGCTGCGAACAACATAAACAAGACTTAAACAAGCACAGGACGTTGACATTAGAAAGAAGCAAAACACTAAGATGACATACTGACACTCATAACAAAACAAGCTAAGAAATACTGGCTTTTGTTTGCATCCCAAGAATGGGGTCACCCTGTTTTTGCCGATGGCAAAGCACAAGGAGTCGAATCCAAGGATGATCTCTTATCACTTAAAACTTCTTAGGCAGCAAAGAAGCAAATTCCACACAATGACTTAATTATTGGCCCTCATTTTGGCTTGAAGCGCCTTTCCAAACTCTGGAAGCGCCTTCCCAAATTCTGCTAGCTTATCAGTATCAGGGATGAGTTCCTTGACAGCAGTGTCAGAGGAAAACCTCTCTGCCCATTTCAACAGAGAAGGAGTTTTGGTTTCATTGAGCAGCTCAATCCCACCAACCTTCTCTATGACTCTTAACCACCCTAAGAAGCACCCAAATGCAATGTCAAGGAACCCAATTCGATCACCTCCAAAGAAAGCCTTTCCTTTGCTACACTTCCCAAATGCTTCCTCCAACGGCACTAGGCTTTCTTCCATCTGTGCGATTGCTGCTTTCTTGGCATCCTCTTCTTGCGCAAAAAGAAACGCTATCATGGGTGGAAACCACTGGAGAAGTGATGCACACAAGTCAGTTAAATGAGTTTCTTACCAACAATGAAATTTAAATGCCCAGGATGAACATTGATCATGTACCTTGTCATCAATATAGGCAGACCAAAATCGAGATGTGGCACGATCATAAGGATCAGAAGGAAGAATGGAGGGACCAGAGGACCAAACCTCATCTATGTACTGGACAATGATGAGAGACTCACATATGGGATTGTCAGCATGGATGAGAACTGGGACTTTCTTGTGAATAGGGTTTGATTTAAGAAGCAGCTCGCTTTTGGACACAAGCCAATTCTCTTCCTGATACTCATAGTCCACGGATTTGATGTTAAGGGCAATTCTTGCCCTCATCACAAAGGGACTAGTCCAAGCCCCCAGAAGCTTAACATCACTTTTCGCCATTGTTCCTTCTCCAACTTCACAAATACCTGAAAAAAAAAAAAAAATTGACGAGAATTAGTCTCTGGGTGATAGTTAATCATGAAACAACATCATCTTAAACAATTTATTGCAGAATACCAAATTAATCGTTTTGACAGATGAAAAGTGCTTATAAAAACGCCTGATTGGCCCAACCCCATAGATAAGTAACATAACTCAATATTCTTCTATTCTTTTCTCTATTAATTATCTGTTAATAACCAACAGAATTTCCTAGTCAATCAGTAATCACAAATATAGCATACTTTTGTTTTCTAGGCTCAGCCAGAAATAAAAGAGATATCTGTTTTCTTACTAGATAAGAATCCAGATATCCTAGCATAACTATAAGTTCAAACCTGAGGTATAGAGTTCAAGCCCTCAAAAGTAGTTTCTGCAACGTAACGCAGCTATAATCTCCAGAAGCAGTAGGATTAGTAATTGGAACGAATAGAGTTAGTCCCCCAGTAGAAAACACAATCCATTCTTAATGAGAAGGAGATGAGAAGAAAGCAGCCCACAGGAGCTTGTCTTGAACTAGTGCTTCCTAGGTGATGTAAAGTCAAGTTGGCCCTAGCTAATCCATATTAAAAATTCTTTGCTAAATTATTGATCAAATCACTGTACATTACCCTTTTTTTTTATTAGACAAATGTTCATCTTCACAAGTCAAGCTCAAGCTCCAAATTACTCTTGAAAAAGTTAAGCTTGAACTCGAGTTGCAAAGTACTCGGTTGCTTGCTCGTCCGGACCTAGAGCTCGAGCTCCTTTACCATAAGAAACAGACCATTACCAAGTCTGGCCAAGTAGATATTCCAAACAGAACAATACCCATGTTGCAGTGATAGTAGACCGAGTTCACGACTTTTGCCGTCCGAGGTTATCGTACCTTAGACTTCTTGAACTATTCATAACAATTTAGTCACCTTGACGATTGTTTTAAAGAATGACGAGATCAGTTGGATTCAAGCTCGTCCCCTTTGCTCTTACTCTACAATAGCTTTGCACATATACAAATTTCTTATAAGAGATATATGCGATGATTGACACATATGACTTCGGTTTCTCACAAAAATCAACACGTGGATACCCCTTGAAGGTTATAAATACCTCCAAGGACCCTCTCCAAAAGATAGTTAAAACCGAACTTAAGCTTAGCTCTTGCTCCGTAACTGATAGTTCTGATTATTACTGACTTAGTTATCGGAATGTCCACCAGAATATCTACCCGAATACCAACCTCGGGGCTTTGCAGGATAACTAAAGTGAAAATCTGAGCTTGGAAGCATCTTGAAGTTCTTTGCAACAACACATGTACTTTTTATTGAGTAGCAAAAAATATGGCTCATATAGAAGAAACAAATTCAACTACAGTTCCAATTTTCTTAATAGATACATTAACCTTATTTTATTACAATTTCAAAATGAAATCTTGCAACTTGAGAAAGAGGGTGGGATTCCTAGAACTTGCATAACTTACAACATGAAATTGTGGTAACCTTATTTGAGTAAAACTTGAAATTGAAATCTTGCAAA